TGCTAATCTCTGCCATCTTAATTCTCGCTGTTTTTCCAGTTCTGTGGCCCGAGCCATTTTCTCTGCATACTGTCTTTGGCACTCCTCGAACAAATTTGCATCCATCTCCAAGAACATTTTGCGAACATTGACAGTGAGCCCGTGTACAGCTTGATTCCAATGGAACTGTATATTCTTTTCCAGAGCCTCGAAAATAATGGGAAAAATGGCATTCCTGTTCTGGGCAATCAAACTTACAATGTGCTCATTATTCCATAAAAATAGGGCTCGCTCTGCAACCTGAAATAAAATTTGACACATGAACACCATATAAAGGTTAGCTAACTGCATTGCCATGACAGAATCCTCCAAGATTAAGCAAACCTTTCCATAGCTGTTAAAGTCATTTTGAATGCATTAGATACTTGACTTTAGACTTTATGGTGATTATATATGGAAATTAATACTTATGGTTAGTGCGATCATGAGATGTGCAGACTGAAGCAGCCTGTAATGGTGCTTCATTACTGTGATAAGCGTGGCAGATAAGAGACAAGTGACTAGAGGAGAGAATGAGGTGGTTAATAACGGCCAAGGAAATGGGTATCAAGGACAATGTCTCAAGTGAATGGCAGTGGCCCGATGCTTTACATTAGTCTAAGTGTAGTGACATAATATGAGGGTATTGAAGACTCATGAGATTGATGGCAGTGGTTCAACTTGGTAAGTTGTCTGGTTTCGCAGTCCTTTTCCACCCTATCAGGATCACATCTGTGGGAATGAAGAAGAAAAAAATATGGCTAGGGAATGGAATGATACAAGTCTAGAATACGTAATGAAATTAAGCATGCATAATGATGAAATGGAATTTTGACCCTAACAAAGATTCTACCCATCCCAATATCAGAGAATAAAATGTATAGCCCTAAAATATGAAGGAAACTGGTCTTCACCTTTCTTTCCTCTAGGCATAACATAGAAGTGAACAAATAAAAAGTTGCTTAATAACAATAACAATAATAATACGAGGTTACTAATAGAAAAGCATTCTTCCATTCTAGATGGAAGAATTATAAAATTTACTTGGGTCACAGGATTATGTATCATATTGACTAATGCATCTTTAAATACAATTTTGATACTTTACAGCATTGATAGGATAAGTCCTACATTACGGAAAGAAATAAATGGCTGTCATATTTAAGCGAATGGCATACTTCTCTATTTTCCAAGAACAGGTTCAGTTACCTAAAAATCACATGTTTGGTAATAGTAGAACGAAGGAGAAGTTCAAAAACACATAGCCGCATAAGGTGATTGTAAGTTCAGCTCTTTAATGTGACTAAAGTCTAAAGGAGGCAGAAGGGGATTACAGGAAGATAGTAATGGGGATTGGGGAAGGCAGGTTCAGAAATGTGAAATTTTGAGAGTTAGGAGATGATTCCAAGCTGCAGAAAATGAAGATTTGAAGATTAGCAGATGACCAAGTTCACAGAGCAGAGTGAGAGTGTGATGCCAGTATTTAAGGCTATATAAACCTTGGTGAAAAACAATAGCACCTTTAATGAGTCTTCCCTTTGCCAATGGTGGTGAAGGATGACCCCTTCCGGCAATACTCGCACCAAATTCCATAGGCAATGGGGAAAATCAAACTTGGAAGGTATTGAAGAAAGGACAAAGGATCAAACATACAAGGATGCACAAGATCCACAAAGAGGAAACCCCAAATAATATCTTGACATAGCCACCGAAATGGGTTCAACTACATGATAAACATAGAACAGCCATCCACATGACATGGATAAATTTTGGTTCCTAAATTTCTATTTTCTATGTTCAACAACTATTATCAAGAAAAAGAAAATTGTTCATAAAGCTACATACTAAGATGACTAGTTGGATGAGTGTGCTACATTTTTGCATATCAAAAAGACAAAAACATGAAACTGTAGAAAATTTCAATATTTCACCATGCCCTACATTCTCCATTAAAGACACTATGAACAGGAGCATTGCATCAACCAGGAACAACTAACTATCCCTCTGAACAAACAGCTAATAAAGTAACTTGACACCAAATTAAAGCATATTGCAGCTTTAGAGCAAGGCATTTGTTACTTTATCTATTAACAATATCATTCACAAGTAGCAAAAGAAATAAAAGAATCCTCCATAAAAGGATGCAGATTGAAAAGTATAGTTAAAAGTTATTAAAATTTAAAACTTCCAATAACCTGAAAGTGTGGGCTGTTTAGACAACGAGCTATCTGTCTAAAAAGAGGAACCATGCAACGCTGAAATTCTGCTGCCTGTGTGGCTTCCAAAACTTCTTCAAGTTCTCCAAGGAAGAGAACCTCTTTTGGGCAATTAGTAACAGGCCAATATTTCAACAGACCTCTTATAACTACATCAGCCAACTTGTAATCCTTCTCCACAAACTGAACAATACAGTATGATAGCTGCTGATGATACATTGCAATTGTTTTTGGCTTGTGTAGTGGTATGAGTGCACGGGCAAGAAACAGCTTATGTTCCTCTTTCATTGGCAATGCAAACCCATTTATAATACTCCCTAGAATCTCCAAAAGCTCACCTATGCCGCTATGCCTCTCCGTCTCATATATAAAGCCATAAAATACATTATTGATTGCCTTCCTTACAAAAGGCCGATGCACCATGAACTTCCCATATATTCGATGAAGAATTGTTTTCAAATACTCTCTTTCCCTCGGGTCCTCAGAGTCGAACAAATCCAATAACTTTAACACAAATGAATGATCAATAAACCGCTTTGCTACCTTTGTATCAGTGTCAGATGACACAATGTACCGCAAAAGCAGTTCATATACTAGCTGCAAATGTGGCCAAGAGGGCTCAAGAAATGGTTCCTCTTCGTCAGGGTCAGCATTTTCTGACCCTGTGTTCTCGTGTGAGTTGGGAGGTAAGCACCGGAATATATTGATAGATATCATCCTTATCATTTCCTCCTGATTGCTCTCCGTAATTTTTCCAGACCCTGACTGAATAAAATCTACAAGCTCTACAAGGGACTGCCTCTTGATCTCCTTCTCCCTAGCCATCTTCATTGTATCAGTGAAGTCAAACTGAAAGCAACAAATCTGAAGCTTCTTCAAAAACAAGTTCTGGCGCTCCGACACCGGCACATCGCGAAACATAGGCAGGTTCTCTATAGTTCCAGGGGCCGGCATGGCAGCAGAAAAGAGCGCCGCCGCCGTAGGCAGATGCGACTGCGCTGAATCCGGGGGCAAGCTGCCCCTGGAAGCATGGTTCACCACTACATTGGATGTGGAAACTGAACCAGTCCCCGCCCCACCCTGTGGCCCGTAGCCAAAGTCTCCGCCGTTGGATTTGGGCACCTTCCGGTGCCCCCTCTTTATAATTTTGTTCAACATTTGACTCCAATCACTAAAACCCTAGCCCTAAATTTCGCCTATAAAGTATAAACACTACTCTAAACATCTGTCAACGCATTATGCAATTCAAAATAAAACAAAAACTCGTGAAAAAACGAAAAAACAAAAAACCCAGAGCTAAGAGCAGTGAGGAGGCCTTGAATCTGCAATCTGTAATTCGTTCACATGAGAATTGGGCGATTAGGTGGAGAGACGAGAAGAGAATTGTGGAGCAAAAGAAATGGTGGATCGTGGCTGTGATGAACGACCGCCGGATAAGTTATCGGCGGCGGTCAGACGGAGAGGAGGTTTCCGACGATCAACACGAAATGAGATATATAAATGATCTAAAAATAAAGAGTGAAAGGAGAGAGAAGGCGACGAAAGTCGTACTCCGTCATAGCTAAAATGGAAGGATGTTAACGAAAAGTCGAAAACGCAGTCGTACAGCGCCAACATGCAAATCCATATTAATTAAATTAAATATTATGGTAAATATATTTTCTTTTTGTTTAATCCTTATCTATATCTATATATATTATTATAAGAGAAAATTTTCAATTCTATCATACTAAACATTCAATTCAAACACTGGGGCTATATGGTCTAATGGTACCCGAGTTAAACTTCCATTTGAAATATTATGAGTTTGAACGAGGTGTTATTAGTTCTTTGTGTTTTAGTAAGTTGAGAAAGTATATATGTAATAGAGCCAGTAGCTTTCAAAAAAAACATTCAATTCAATCCAGCATCAGCCAATGTATCTATCAAACCCTATAAACAAATAGGTAATTCATGAAATTTAGTCAAAATGTTATCCTTCCATTGCCACTTTAATAAGTCTTTAATCTTATCTTGAGAAGTTCAATACATAGAGCATTAAATCTTTAGTAAATTTCACAAACAAAACTATCTTGAGAAGTTCAATACATAGAGCATTAAATCTTTAGTAAATTTCACAAACAAAACTAGATAGGTGAAAGATAATTTTCGTACCATAATATTTTGTATTCGATTCTTATCTTATCCCAAAAGGTTGAATTCTCAATCTTAAGGGTCCCCTACACTCCTACTCAACAGAGCATGTGGAGGATGTAAATCACGGTGACTCAATGGGTTAGTAGACATGACCAAATGTCGGTGCGCACAAGAAATTTGCCCACTTTGAACATAATTCGTACACTGCCGCTGCCGAGGTTCGAATCTTGGTCTCTTATCCCAAATACTGCCCACTAAAATTCGATTCTTGCAAATACCTTCTCAAGTCAATCGTACACGTCTCTCTTATGTAATTTACGAATTATTACACAAGAGAAAATTTTACTTAATATACACTTTTAGATAATAGTTACAGGTTTCTCCCTCGTAACACCAAAAAAAAATAAAAAAATCATGATATAATTTTAGAGGGGTAGAATAGTGATTCTTGAAAAATTGTGTCATCCCTTTGTAAGACAATAAAACAATTATTTTCCATTAAAAATAAAAAGAGGAAGACAATTTTTCTAGATTTTCAGTTCTTTGATGGCAGGACTATAAGATTTTGGTTGCTGTATATTATGCAAAAAGCCCATATGAACATTCATATCGACTTGAAGGAGCACCAAGTTTAAACGCAATGAATATTCCAATTCCGACCAGTGATCATATCAGACACATTTTCTGGTTATTTCTTCAGTTCAATCCACAATATGCTCTCCACATTCATACAAAGAGATTCTTGATCTGAGAAAACTGGAAACTGGAAAGTTGTATGCATGAGAGATCAACCATTCATGGCATTTTATCACCCTGTACATTACATACAGCTTTTAAAGGATTTTACTACTCTTATAAATCCTCACCGTCAACATTCATTTCATTCTACATGGTTAGCCTTACAAACTGAAACTTAATTGGTAGAGTGTAGCTTATCACTCCCTCAAATATGCCAACTATATATAGATATATATCTACATGTCTTTGTAAGTAATACTAACTGGAAGAAGTATACACTGTACATGCGAGTTGTAGGTGACTCTCGGGATTGGTGCATCACTCTGTCGCTTCGCCATTCATCATTCCCAGCCCATCAGCATCTTCCAAACTGCTTCTTGAATCTTCGTTTTTGGTACAGGCAAGCCATTCCCTTCATCGAGTAGAACTCTGTATATTTCCCATTCCCGGTCTCCCACCATGTATCTACCAATTTCAGCCTGGAAGTGATTAAGATCACAACTGTTAAGGTTTTACTAGATAAATAACATCCACTCAATGTTTGTTTTGTTTTGTTTTTCTACTCCATTCCTATATGTTTAGGTGTGAGGAAATACCGAAAAGACGCCAACGTTGAGCATTTTGAGCGCCAGGGTGATGTCATGAAAGACGAGGGGACGACCCTTGCCAGACAACTCCACGGGGTTTGCAACAAGTAGTTCTGTATCGGGGCCTCGGTTCACCAATGCTACTCTTAGAGGACGACGCAGTTCCATCTGGATACGAGAGCACAGGGCGTTTAATTTGTTGGGATCAACTATTTTCTTCCCATCTGCTTGCATGATGAATAAGTCAAGCTCACAGTCCATTTTACTTTTCACTGTGAAGCGCCCATAAGATATCTGAAACCACAACAGCATATTGGCATTAGAAATTATATATCTTTTCAAGTGTATATATATTTCGTGGTGTCCAAAAATAAACATAACAATATTTTCTATAACGAATTATCAAGAAACAAATTAAGACACAATCACTAACTAGTTAGCCATTGAAACGAGATTTTACTTTCAAGAAATAATATTATCTACCTGGATGTTATAATCCTTCAGCGTTCTCATTATATCATAGAGAAAACCTTTGTGATCTTGGCAAACAATCTGGATTAGTGTGTGACTAGGACTCAGCAAGTTATCCACTGCAATAGATGCCTTCTTACAAGCAGGAGATCCACCTCGATGATCGTCAACCACCTCACTGTCAAACATGTCCTCCGTTATTTCAGGGGGAAGGAATGACGGGCCTTGAGAACACAAAGTGACTTCAGGGCCAACCATTTCTATTTCACAGCTAATCATAGCGTCCCCAAGAACGGATTTTAAATTATCATATGTATCCTCCTGTCTTTTCTTTGTATGCAGCAGTTCCCTGATCACACAACTAACACATAAGTTTACAGGATAAACGAAGAAAATATCATTTTCGGTGATCAAAACCACATCACTTAATTAACAAATGCATCGATATCTATGAAATTACAAGCCCTCAAACAGGATGGGGTGCCATTGAATGGTGTTAGGATGAAAGCACGAAACACAAAACTTGAGGAAAGTAGGGTCTAGAGACTAGAATGCAGAACCTTGTGTCTGTTATGAAGAACAGGTCGATGACTTTCCCGTCTGGAGTAGTGGATATCTTCACTTTCTCTATGATAAGCTCAAGTTCGTAAAGGGCTGCTGTCACATCTGCCAAAAAACGTTTGAAAATTCACCCACGGATACAACCCACATATCCTTCTTGGACCAGAAACTTTACTAGCTATCAAGAAGATAGAAGCAAAGGCACAAATCGGTCAAAAAACTGACTAAAAATACCAAGCACACAACATATTACAAATTCTAAACTTTTGACAGATGACACAAGAACACAACCCATAATGGTAAACAAGCAAAGTAAGAACAATCTAAGATGCAAAAGTTAACCCCCCACAAGAAATAACATTGCAAAACATAGACATCAGCAAATATAGACATGTAACAATTGATTTCGTTGCTTCAAAATTACCATGTAAAAGGCCCCGTCGATCATAACAACAGAATTTCAAGAGGAACACATCAGGAGGTTTTGGAGACTGCAACTCAGCCCGGTAATACGAAATCCCAGAGGCTGAAGAACATGAAGGGCACACTCCAATCAGTCTCTTCTTCAGCAAACTCCATCTTGTGTTTGGTTTGCCAATCACCCAAAACACTAGGTAGCACCATTTCCCATCCGTGGATACATCTTCAACAATTGAAACAAAAGTAAAACAATACTAATTAACTAAACATCAAGCAATCACCAAGTAAATTGCAAGAAACTCAAATTAAGCACAGAAAGTGATTTTCCTTCCACTTGAGGGTGGAAAATTGCACTGGTTTAGGTCTTCCCACTTAAACACCCTCCAGACAGTAGAAAAAGTTGACTCTTTCATCCCAATTCCCAAATTAGAGCTGCGAATTACCAGCTCATTATCAATTACTGTACAATTTGAATATGCTTCAGCTCCACTTTAACCAGTGAAATTTTAAAGAAAAGAAACTTTTCCTTGCACAAAAGTCAAATCACAGTGAAAACTTAATGGAAAACCCTCTCCCAAATTTAGAGAAGATTTAGCTTACCAATTCTGACTACAGTGAGGCCAAAGAAGAGAATGATTCGACAAAGATCAGAGCCCAAGCCAGTCTTGTCAGGGCAGTTCACAGTGATCACACTTGGCTCTCCTTCCTTCTCTGATTGCCTTAGTAGCACAACGTCGTCGTGTAGAATCCCCATAAGTCTTCCTTTCCCTCTTTCTCTTCTGCCAGGCAGAGAAATGAGGGTTTGCTTTGCTCTTCTTCGTTTCCAAGTCTTGCACCCACAAAAAGATTGAATCTTTTTTGAATAATATTCCAAAAGCTCCCAACTAGGGTACCAAAACAGAGAATCTTTCTCTCTGCCTCCTGAATCTTTTTGCAATAAATATTCAAAAAGCTCCCAACTTCGATGAATACACAGAGAATCTTTCCCTCTTCCTCTCTCCGGTTTCTGTGCTCTGCACAGACACCCACGTTTTCAACTTGTATCTTGAATTTATTTATTTTTTAAATAAAAAATCACTTTCTTCAGTGCTGGGGGAGGAAGGCGGGTGGATGGGTTCACTGGGAAGTGAATATGCAGCTGGAATTTTGTTTGTGATGCTAATAAACAAACATTTACGATGTGGTCTGGCTCGAGAGGACGGGGGGGTGGTTGAAGGTTGTTGGGTGTTTTTCATCTGTTGATGACTTGATGCCACGCAGGAAAGGCACGGAATGCTTGAGAATATCGCAAGAAATGCACGATTTCATTTTCTCATTTCCAAATTATCGTACTCTATTAAAAATCTTCCCATTTCGAAATACAAATAAATGGAGTGAATTATGTGTACGTGTATATGTAATTCGCTCCTTTTTCTCTCCCATCTTCTTGAAATTGTGCAAACTTTTTACATAGTTTTTTTTTTTTTAATGTCTGTAACTCTTATTCAAATGTTCTCTTTAAGTAAAGATAATGTTAATGTTATGACCTTAGGAAGTTATAGACAAGTTGGACATATTCCTTATGCGCATCAATATTTGATCTAGTCATTGCGTCTCCGTAATTTACATTATCTCAGAGTGGGGGGCCTTTGATATTGAGAATTTAATATTTTAAGAGAAGAAAAAGACATGAAAAGTAAATCGATTTAAGACTTTGTACAAAAAAAACTTTTTTATTGCCTTTAAAAATTAGAAAATCAAATCATGAACCCTCTCTTTTGCAATTACTTATACATTTACATCGCACATAATTAAACTCATAAATTATACTAATTATTACACATGAACTTAAGACAATATTAGACATCATTTAAACATATATTATTGAAAAAATATACAAATATTATACTGAATTATTTGGAGATCGCAATTAAGAACCGACAAAAAAAAATACTATAAATTATTCATAGTTAATTAGCTCAAATTTTTTGTATAAAAAAAAGTCAATAATGCTACTACAGTGATGTTTGAGGAATTTTCACATTTGCTTTGTGCGTATCCAGAAAGAAGGAAAAAACTTTTTTTAAAAAAATGTTAGTAGGGCAGCTCGAGGGACCTGAAATCAAAGCATATTGGTGTCGGTTGGACTTACAATACCATTAGGAAAACAAGTCAAACTAAGCCACCTCAATAATCAATAATATAATATAATTTGAAAGAATAATACTTGAAGGAACAATTGAGGTATTAACTCATAAAAATAATTAATCGACTATGGAAACTTTCTAAAAACCTAATAAAATATAATGAATTTAAAAAAGCATATATCAAATTAAACATGAAATATAAAATAAAACGAACTCAAAAAAACACATAAAATTAATAATAAAAATTAAACCAATATAATAGATCAGAGCTCATTATGCATTTGAATTAAGCAACTAATTTTTTTTGAATGTTACTGGCCCCATTACATTGTAGTATCTGTTCATATACTTTCTCAACCTACTGAAACACGAAGAACCAATAACGCCTCCACTAAGGCTCGAACTCATAACCTCCCGGATACCATTAGACCACATAGTCTTGGTATTAAGCAACTAATTAATGTCTCAAAATTTGAACAACACACAAAAAATTGAAAACAGTTTTATTCATCATTCTTAAATGTCATGACGGGGCCTTCAATTCTTGGATTAATCATCCTCCTCCTTCTTCTTCTTAAGAGTGTCGTGTGGGGTAGTTCTTGCATTTTTAGTGTCCTTGTCTAGTTCAAAATTTGGGCCAAACACTATTTCAACAATCTTCTTCTTAATAGTGTCTTGTGAGATTTTTCCTTTTTCATCTAGTCTGAAATTTGAGTCATACAATATTTCAAAAATCCTGGACAAAAACGCATGCTGACAATCCAGTTGAGCCTTTACCAAGCCCGCCTCTAATGTTACTTCTTTTTCATTGGACCATATTTCAGCAATAAACACATACACACAATCCTGCAAGGCCTTTACCTTTTCCACATCTAATTTTACTTCTTCTTCTCCTTGTACACAATCCTGCAAGGCCTTTACCTTTTCCACATCTAATTTTACTTCTTCTTCTCCTTGTTCACTAGAATATATTTCAACAATTCTGGATACAGTCACATGCACAAAATTCTCCAGGTACTTTATGATTTCCACCTCTAATTCTACTTTTTCTTCTTCTTTGCTATGCTCCCGTGGAACTCGGCAATCGCCGCCGGGTGGAGGAGGAGGAGATGAAGAAGGGCCATACGGATATGGGTATGAAAAAGGCTCGTACAAATGAGGGTACAAATGAGGATATGAAAATTGCTCGTACGGACGATACGAAAAAGGGACGTACCAAGGAGAATATGGAAGAGGAGGAGGAGAATGTGGAGGAGGAGGATATGAAAATTGCTCATACGAACGATACGAAAAAGGGACGTACCAAGGAGAATATGGAGGAGGGGGAGGAGAATGTGGAGGAGGAGGAGAATATGAAAATTGCTCATACGGACGATACGAAAAAGGGACGTACCAAGGAGAATATGGAGGAGGAGGAGGATATGAAAATTGCTCATACGGACGATACGAAAATCTGCCATTAGGTATTCGCACGTTGAGGTATAGTTCTAAATCTGTCATGCCTCTCAATATTCTTCTACTCAATAATGGATTCCATAAATATCTATTTGCCATGGCTCGCTCTCAATATTGATCTTCTACTAAATGGCTTCCCTGCATAAATATATAACGTCCTAATCCTTTCAAAAATAAAAATAAAAATCTAAAAGATAACAAAAGTATATATAAAAGATTTATTTCTATATATAATTGAGGTAATTGAGTCCAATTATATTTCTATAATTTAATTAGGTAATTGAGATCAATTCTATATTTGATTAAAAATAGTCAAAATATTTGTATATATAAAAGATCTATTTCTATATATAATTGAGGTAATTGAGTCCAATTCTATTTCTATAATTTAATTAGGTAATTGAGTCCAATTCTATATTTGATTAAAAATAGTCAAAAAATTTGTATACAGTTTATATTTGTTAAACAAAAAATGTCGATAGTAATTTTTTCAACATAAATATTAATAATTGAGTAAATTAATCTAACACGGGTTACAACAAAATATTTTAGTTGATTGAGTGATTAATCGGTAAGTAATCAGCGAATATAAATCGGGTTGGATCAAAATGGCATAATGAAAAGTGACATACAACACAAGCAGTACAGTGAATCAGCATGTAATAGCAAGCAATTGAGTGCGTATGTAGTTGATGAAATAAAGAGTAACAAACACAAGCAATAATATATGTAAAATATATAGAAAATTCTTCCAAAAGGTTTAATCCTAACCCTAAGGGTCTCACATCCGACCCGACAGAGTATGTAGGAGGAGGTAAATTAAAAAAGAGTAACAATCACAAACAATAATACTCCGTATATGTAATCACAAGCAATAATATATGTAAAATATAGAGAAAGTACCACAGAGGAGAGCGAGCAGATGTCGAAGCTGTGACCGAGAAGAATTCAAGAAAGAGTAGATGCGTTATGTTCTTATATAATTATATATTCGTCGCACAAACCAAATTAGGTAATTGAGTCGAATTCTATTTCTATAACTTAATTAGGTAATTGAGTCCAATTATATATTTGATTAAAAATAGTAAAAATGTTTGTATACTGTTTATATTTCGTATCAATTACATTACATATCTACTATATATATATATATATATATATATATATATATATATATATATATATATATATATATATAATCGCACTCAGGTGCGAATACTTCGCCCAGACGCGAAATAGGAATGGATTCTGTCCGTCCACGTGTCCAGATCTAATGGATGAGAAACACTGATTTTTTTAAAAAACGCGGTGGCATTTTCGTAAATAATTGAATATCGAAGTGCAAGTAAAATGTATTACAAGTGCATGTAAAATGTATTATCGGTGCAAGTAAAAATTTACACTGAGCATCAATACTTAGTTGCACCTATCGTTATAAGTAGTTGCACCTATAGTTCTAAGTAGCTGCACACATAGTTATAAGTAGTTGCACCTAGGTGTATGAATGTTTGCGAGTGGTTTTCAGGGGTATTACTATCCGCAGAACTCAGATCAATGAATGTTAACAAGGCAAAATTACATGCACTTATAAGTGAAAATAGGTGCACCTATAGTTATAAGTAGTTGCACCTATAGTTATAAATGGTTGCACATATAGTTATAAGCACACCCATGTGCATGAATGTTTGCGGAAAGTGAATGATAACAAGGCAAAATTACATGCACTTATAGGTGAAAGTAGGTGCACCTATAGTTATAAGTAGTTGCACCTATAGTTATAAATAGTTGCACATATAGTTATAAGCACACCCAGGTGCATGAATGTTTGCGGAAAGTGAATGCTAACAAGGCAAAATTACATGCACTTATAGGTGAAAGTAGGTGCACTTGTAAGTGATTTTACTTGCACTTCGATGTTCAATTTTTTACGAAAATGCCACCGCGTTTTTTTTAAGTTATTAGATCTGGACACGTGTCGCGCGCTGATTCGTTCGCATTTCCCTCCTGAGCACTTATTCGCACCTGAGTGCATCCCTATATATATATATATATATATATATATATATATATATATATATATATATATATATATATATATATATATATACTATCTATCTACTATACTAATAAGAGCCCAAGAGAGTTAGGCCTATAATGGGTAGAAAAAATGGCGGTCACAGATTTTAATCAAATGTATGGCTCAGATTGATTAAAAGATTGATCAGATTTAAATTTTACACTAAACTTTCCTAAAATACCCACACACCGTTACTAATTCCGTTAAAATTTTAAGAATTTCCGTTAGTTCACCGTTAACTTACTCATTGATTTCAATAAAAAAGGTCTTAGGTTCGAACCTCATCCCAATCAAAGTTGGCATAATTAGTACTCTATTTTACTCTTATTAAATTATATATATAAATAATAATTTAGTAGTTACAACGAAAAATAATACATATGCATTTCTTTAATTTAGAATTATGTGTCCACAATGTCTTTATTCAAAAAAAAAAATTATTCATTATCAATAAATTAAATAAGAGAAATAATTTTATTAGTTATATTGTCTTTATTTTTCTTCAATATAAAAATTCTTTATATTCAAATTTATTAATTGATTATATTCGCTACATTATCTTTACAATGTCTTTATTCAGTGAAAAAAAAAATTATTAATTATCAATAAATTAATTAAAAGAAATATTTTCATTAGTTATATTGTCTTTATTTTTCTCAAATGTAAAAAATTTTACATTCAAATTCATCAATTGATTATATTCACTACATTATCTATTATCTTTTTTGTGCACTACTTTTCTAATTAAATATCAAAGTTATAATACAAAATAATGCTGTATATTTATTTACCAAGTATTTTATTAATACCATGAAAAAAATTTTAAAAAAATATAATTAATAAAGCCAACCATATTAACTACTTGAGAGATTTTGTGACAAAGAGAGTATTCAAATCACACAACAAATTGAAGTGAGAACTACCTCGCAATGTCCTTGTTTGACAATCAGCAGTTAGAGGTTAGCGTTAGCGGATTATACTAGCAGATTTGACCAGCGAATTTATTTAATTATTAACATTGGGTAGAAAAAATGACCGCCAAATTATTAAATCAAATGAATGGTTCATATTGTTCCGGTTTTAATTTGTTTCTTTTTAAGATTTTATAATTTATCCTTAATTATATGATTATCCATTTAACTTTTCCGTTAATTCACCGTTAGTCTAAGTCTAATATTAAAGTCTTAATAGAACTTAACCACAAATCCTAATGTCAGAATCTCCTCAAACAATATTAGTATATATTTAATATTTTATGCCCTAATTTTTATTTGTTTTCCCTTATGTCCCGTATTTGGTTTCAACCATACCTATACAATTATTTTATTGACAATTATAATCAATCTTGACTATATTATCTTGCATTTGTAAACTTAGAATTACCTATTTAACCCGCACGGGCTTAGCTCAATGGTTTAGTGGGTAGTATTTGGGAGAAGAGACCAAGGTTTGACCTCGGCAGCGGCAATGCGGGAATTATGTCCAAAGTGGGCAGATTCCTTGTGCGTATCAGCATTTAGCCCTGTCTGCTGAACCATTGAGTCACCGTGATTTACAACTTCCCACAATGCTCTGTCGGGTCGGAGTGTGGGGGGCCCTTGGGGTTGGGGACTCAACCTTTGGGAGAAGAATTACCTATTTAAATACGCAAATTCAACCTTCAATTATCTATGCATGAACAATTTCAATATAATCCTGTCTTAATATACTTTAAAGTACTTATTTAAAAAAAAAAAAAAAACATTGGGCATTATCCCAATCGCGCAATGCGCGTACAAAACTAGTATATATATATATATATATATATATATATATATATATATATATATATATATATATATAGATTAATATTTGATGCGTGTATAGATGCTATACAATGGCGATAAATGAGGAGATGACACATCATTAAAGAATAAAATCAATGCTAATCGAGACCTTTTTTGCAAAATATCTAAGACTTGTATTCTTTTAGGAATTTTTTTTTTATTTCTAATTAATAAAATATATCTACTTTCCAAAATATATTTATTACTTAATTATTATATATTTAATTATCTAATTAGAAATAATGATAACCATTCTAAAATCGGTAAAACAATTTGCATATTAAGAAATTTCTAAATATCATTCCTGTAAAAAATTCGACACACATTCAGTGTCTAATTATTTCTTCTTTTGTTTTAAGAAATTATTTCTAAATTATTATATTTATAACTAAGAATTCTTTAATTTTAATTAACAAAAAATCATCTAATTTCCTATATGTATCTTAACTCTTAAATCTATTTAAACCCCTAAACTCCTAAATTTAAATTGTAACCTTAGTCACTATTAGGAACAATTGTCACATCTTGTAAATTTAAATTACAACCTTAGTCACATCTTTAAAGTCTTAATAGGATTCTATAATACAAATCTTTATAGAATCTCAACTAAACCATTATTCTACCCAAAACAACAGTATATTAACCACAACTGGGACATTCTACAGGTATCATTGTAAATAAATCTCTTAAAATACTCACCATCGAGGTTTGAACTTATGACCAACTATTTAGAATAATAATCAAAATGTCATCACACTACATGATAATTTAGTGTGTGTGTATATATATATATATATATCACTTTCCGAGCTGCCATCACGTGTCGTATTTTCTGGATCGCCGGTCCCTCTCACGTGACGGACGCTTCAAGAAAAAATATTTTCCAATCCTAATCTCTCACTTTGGCCCAAATGTGGCAAAATCTGGACATAATGGATTTTGCAAAATTTATAGATAACACCTCTATTTATAATAATTTGCGTTTATGCTTTTATGTTTTGCCTATAATACTTTTTATTTTATTTTATTTTATTTTTTGTCAAAGCCTACTTCTAATGATAATTTAAACAATTTGTTTTTTTTTTTTAAATTTATCTAAACAATTTATAACCTTTAAAATGTTAATATATGGCATTTTATAT